GGCCAATCCACCCTAACCTGCACATCTTTGGACTGTGGGACGAAACCAGAGCACCCAGAGGAAACCCATACAGACATGGCGAGAGCACTCAAACTCCACGCAGCATGTTGCCCGAGAGTGGGATCGAATCCGGGTCCCTGGCGCTGTGAGGTGGCTGTGTTAACCACTGAGCCACCGTACTGTCACCATACTTGGCTGTACTCAAGGGTGTGACCTGCGCTCAGTCCCACTGTGTGACGGTTGAAATGTGTACGACCCTGAACGGTTTTATGCTGGGTGGATGTGCAAATTATTTTATTTATTTAAGGGACTGAAAGGTTATCGAAGGTAAATGCAGATACGGAATTCAAACACAGGTGCACCAGTCTTGATCTTATTGAATGACAGAGCGAATTTAGATCATGAGAGGAGCTGATTAAGTGCAAGATCTTTGCTATCTTCCTAACATTTACAGATTTTTTGTTTGGGGGGGCGCGCATGGACAGTGATTAGGAACAGAAGACCTTTTCATGGACGTACTGGCACTGGAGGCATTGCAGAGGGGGTTCTCTAGGTTGGTTCTGGAGTTGAGAGGGTTGGCTTATGAGGAGAGATTGAGTAGGCCGGGACTGTACTCGCTAGAATTTAAAAGAGTGAGGGGAGGGGAGGGGCCTTATAGAAACATGCACAATTATGAAAGGAATGGATGGGATAGACGCAGGGAGGATGTTTCCATTGAGACTAGAACAAGGGGGCATAGCCTCAAAATAAAGTGGGGAGCAGATTTGGGACTGAGTTGAGGAGGAAGTTCTTCACCCAAAGGGTTGTGAATCTGTGGAATTCCCTGCCCAGTGAGGCTACCTCGTTGTATTTTTTTCAGGCAAAGATAGATTTTTGAGCAGTAAAGGGATTAAGGGTTAGGGTGAGCGGGTGGGTAAGTGGAGCTGAGTCCACGATAAGATCAGCCACGGCCTTATTGAATGGGGGAGCAGGCTTGAGGGGCCGGATGGGCCTACTCCTGTTGCTGGTTCTTATGTTCATTCTACCGGATGGCAATTCGTTTCTTTGTTACCCAGTTGGGGGGTAAAACGCAGACGCAATTATAAACCCTCACCTTTTGGGATGAAGATGTTTGCCAAAATGATGCATCCCGCAATTATAAGGGAGGTGCTCTGTGTGAACCGCCTTCCAATCAGACTCATGGAAAGGAAACAAATAGCCTTTGCTGGAACGTCGACGGCTCCAAAAATGAACTGGATGAGGTAAATGTCAACTCCGAATCCTTGCAGGTCTATTGCCAACCCATAATATGCAAAACCCGTTGCAAACCTGCAACAGCGAAAGGAAAGGAGAGCGTCATTTCATCAAGATTATTTCCGATCGTTTTGAGATCCACTTTTTCCTACACCTTCTCTGTTCTGATCACTATTTCAGCTTCGGAGCAACAGGCCTCAAAATTCCTCTCTATTGAACCTAGGGTATAGAACAGTACAGCACAGTACAGGCCCTTCAGCCCACAATGTTGTGCAGACCTATTATCCTACTCTAAGATCAATCTACCCTGCATACCCTACATTTTACTATCCTCCATGTGGCTATCCAAGAGTCGCTTAAAAGTCTCTAAATTATTTGACTCCACTACCACTGCTGGCAGCACATTCCACATGCCCACCACTCTCTGTGTGAAGAACCTACCTCTGACATCTCCCCTATACCTTCCTCCAATCACCTTAAAATTATGCCCCCTCATAATAGTAATTTCCGCCCCGGGGAAAAGGTCTCTGGCTATTCACTCTATCTATGCCTCTTATCATCTTTGTACACCTCTATCGAGTCACCTGTCATCCTTCTTTGCTCCACTGAGAAGAGCCCTAGCTCCCTCGACCTTTCCTCATAAGACCTGCCCTCCAGCATCCTGGTAAATCTCCTCTGCACCCTCTCTAAAGCTTCCACATCCTTCCTATAATGAAGCGACCAGGACTGAACACAATATTCCAAGTGTGATCTAACCAGTGCTTTATAGAGCTGCAGCATAACCTCGCGAAATGGTTGAAGAGAAAGATTCATTAAACATCTCTTTATCTGTGGAATTCACTTCCCCCAGAATGACGGTAGGAGGGTGGGGGGGAGCACCGAATAAATTTCAGGAGGAGACGGACAGGTTTTTAATCAGTAACGGGTTAAGGGGAATGGGACAGGAAATGTGGCGTTGAGGGTGAGATGAGATTGGCCACGTGTCGTATGGATTGAGGGAGCAGGCCTCAAGGTGGGGGTGAATGGTCTCCTTCTTATGTTCTAATGATGTTGAGGTTGGTTGGCTCGCCAAGCTGGTTTGTTGTTCTGCAGACGTTTCGTTACCGTGCTGGGTAACATTATCAGTGCAGCCTCCGATGAAGCGTCGGTGTGTCTTCCCGCCTGGTTTTTGACTCGAGTCTTGAGCTGGATTGCCTCACTTCCAGGTTTTCTTCATAGTGGAGTGTATATGGGGTCGAATTCTATGTGTTTATTGATGGCTTTCTTGCTGGAGTGCCAGGCTTCTAGGAATTCCCGTGCCTGTCTCTGCCTAGCCTGTCCCAGGATCTTGGTGTCGTCCCTGTCGAAGTCGTGGTTCTCCTTGTCCATGTGGATTGAGATGAGTGAGTATTGGTCGTGCCTTTTTGTAGCCAGTAGGTGTTCGTGTACCCTTGTTGTTAGTTTCCTTCCTGTTTGTCCGATGTAGTGTTTCTCACAGTCTCTGCAGGGGATCTTGTAGATGACATTGGTCCTGTCCATGGTGGGGAGTGGGTCTTTAGTCTGGGTGAGCACTTGTCGTAGGGTTGATGTGGATTTGTGTGCCACTCTGATGCCAGGTCGTTAAATACCGGGCGGGAAGACACAATGGCGCTTCATCGGAGGCTGCACTGCGGATGTTACCCAGCACGATAACGAAACGTCTGCGGAACAACAAACCAGCTAGGCGAGCCAACCAACCTCAACCCCCACAACCCGAGCTACAGATCTACTCCAAAACCTTATGTTCTAATGATTTCAAAGTGGCGTTGCCACAGATTAGACGGCCCCAGCCGTGGAACTGAGGTCTCACAGAGGCTGATCCACAACCTACACCCAATTCTTTTGAGCCTGAGTAGTAGGCATCCAGTTACAGTCACCAGCCCATGGAATATTGTGCCCACGTTCCTTTCAGTTTGGAGGTTGGCAGGCAGGAAGGATGCTTCTTCTACAGCCTTCTCAACCCTTTGACCCAGAAACCCCATGAGTTCAGGAGTTGGGAGCTTTGTCTCTGAAGCCCATGACTCCAACTCTTGAGTTCTGTTAACTAAGCCCTTGCAAATTCTTCTCCCATGCTTGTGTTAAAACTGGATCACCTTTTGGCACTTTATAAGACACTCCACCCCTGTCGGTTTTCGTGTGCAATTTCAGTCAATTGATGCGTAGTGTTTGCATTGACAGTTTCTCTTGTTTTTGTTTCCATCTCATTACTCCCACTGGCGTTATTTGCCCCTACTCATCACTTGATACCCCAAAGGCACAAGTCAGGAGTGTGAGGGAATACCCCCACTTGCCCCTGGATGGGGGCAGCCCCAACAACACTCAAGAAGCTCGACACCATCCAGGACAAAGCAGCCCCCACTTCGATTGGCACCACATCCACAAACATCCCACTCCCTCCACCCACCGACGCTCAGTCGCAGCAGTGTGTATCATCTACAAGATGCCCTGCAGCAACTCACCGAGGCTCCTTAGACAGCACCTTCCAAACCCACCACCACTTCCATCTAGAAGGACAAGGGGCAGCAGATACATGGGAACACCACCCCCTGCAAGTTCCCCTCCGAGCCACTCCCCATCCCGACTGGGAAATATATCGGCCGTTCCTTCAGTGTCGCTGGGTCAGAATCCTGGAATTCCCTCCCTAAGGGCATTGTGGGTCTACCCACAGCACACACGGACTGCAGCAGTTCAAGAAGGCAGCTCATCCCCACCTTCTCAAGGGGCAACTAGGGATGAGGCAATAAATGCTGGGCCCAGCCAGCGACGCCCACATCCCACAAGTGAATGAGTAAATAAAATAATAGGAGAATTCATTGTTCAAATTTGCTATCCTAGGTAGAAAAAATCTAAAGCTTTTCAATAACTTACCAAACAAGCATGGTACAACAAGCTATCTTGCGTATGACAGGAGTCCGAAATAGATCTAGCACACTGTGCTTGTTCTTAGCAGTTAGCTGCTCGTCTTTCATACTCGATTTGAGAATCTATGGAACACACACACACACACAATGTGTATGTCATCACAATGTTACCACTAAGCACTTCACTTTAGTTCAAGCATTCAATCATGTGTTAGGTCCACGGCCTAAACAGTCACAATTCCTACTTTTATTTCCCTTTTTGCCTGCAGCTATCCCATTTTGATTAAAATTTACCTCGTTAAAACAAAAATTAAGGAGCCGATTACAAGGTTTACTTGTGTCAAAGAGAGAAGAATATTACTACCTGCTACTTCTGAGAAAACATGTGGCATCAAACACGCACACAAACTCTGGTAGTAAGTTTAAAAGAATTTCTGGGGCAACAGGGAGGACTACACTTTGCTACATTCTTGATAATCTATATATTCCTGAGATTGGCAATCTTCTGCACCCACTGTTACCAGACCCATAACAAGTTTACTGTCTTAACTAAATGTTAACCCAGTGGCTCATCTCCTTCTTTTTCCCATTATCCCCTTTATTAGCACACTCCAGTTGGCATAGCTATGTGGACTTGAGTAGGCCGAGCAGTGCAGACTCGAGTAGGCCCAGCGTCATGGACCTGGGTAGGCCCCAGCATCACCGACCTGGGTAGGCCCAGCATCATGGAGCTGGGTAGGCCCAGCATCATGGACCTGGGTAGGGCCCAGCATCACGGACCTGGGTAGGGCCCAGCATCATGGACCTGGGTAGGGCCCAGCATCACGGACCTGGGTAGGGCCCAGCATCACGGAGCTGGGTAGGCCAGCATCATGGAGCTGGGTAGGGCCCAGCATCACGGACCTGGGTAGGCCAGCATCATGGAGCTGGGTAGGCCCCAGAATCACTGACCTGAGTAGGCCCAGCATCACAGACCTGGGTAGGCCTAGCATCATGGAGCTGGGTAGGCCGAGCAGCACAGACTTGGATAGGCCCAGCATTACTGACCTG